TGCTCGCTTATACCATGGTATAATGTCCCTGATGGTGCTCGCTTATACCATGGTATAATGTCCCTGATGATGCTCGTAATATGGTGATTTATGACGATTGAATGCGTTTTTACAGACTATTTACTTGGTTGATGAAAAAAGCTTTAAACCCAAGCATAAGATTCCTTACTCAGCGTTAAAGGGTAAGAAACATTTCAGGACATTGATTAAATAATCACATAATACGAGATTCCCCTTAGTTTACTTTAAACGTTTTTGTTATATTTTTGTCAGGAATTTCTGTTAGCTCTCTCAAAGACGATGTATTCGTGCTACACATTCCCGGTGATGGAAAAGGGGACAAGGTAAAGAACGTCGACTATTTTCCTCGTTTTGCATAACGTAAAGTAATACTTATGTGGTGTACCCCGGGTGATGTACTCAAAGTATTTCACACAGTATGCCAGYTAGAGAGAATTGGTACGCAATTCAACCCTGATAAAGTGAGACTGATGACCTGTTATTCTTTAGGGTGATCTTRTCCTTAGCACCAAATACCTGATAGAAGCCATCACAGAAATCATCGCACAAACTGACAACAAGAACCTACTGAATATAGAACACAAAGAGTATGTATCAATATTGATATATAGCTGTACATGTGTGTGTTCAACTCATTGAAAGGAGTCGTAGTCTTGGTTAAGGTACCGGGACAACAGGCCTAGATTCGACCTTTTATGAAAAATACTAGACTAGCTTTACCGTCTTCCCACTCAGACGTGGATATGAGGTTAAGTAGTTTTTGGAGTTGCCAACCATTCTGGTACGACAGGGACTATGCCATTTCTTTCTGACTTCAGCTAATGTATTTTTATATGTCCGTCAGAAGTACTTCTGATCCAGTTTGATGCCCTTAACGCAGTGTCCTTTTTTGCTAGGATTTCACACGAAATGACGCATGGGAAGATTGGAAAGATAGTGTTCTCAACAGGGTAAGACTTGCTAAAGATTTCATAAGCCAAATGTTAGAATTGTTTTGATAGGCCGAACCTCGTCTCCGGAATTTGATTTGACTTCGGCACATGTGAGATTTTGCGTTTGAAATGAGGCTTGATAATGGTGGGGTGATTATGATTGTCAGTGATGATGATGATGATGATGATGATAATATAGATAGCATGACATGAGACAGGTAAAGATTTTTCGCAACACTTAAGTCATAACTCTCTTTTTCGCAGAGCTATGTCATCAATCAAGAAAGGAAAAAGTGGCAATTTGGAAGTTGTAAGTTRTGCATCCATTCGTTCTTAGCTATAATCGTGAGTAAGAACTGAATTTGAACTCCATAAAAGATGAGCCAATGAAACGTCTCTTCACAAGGATATGACAAAATCTATTATAATTTTGAAAATCGACAGAAAAATTGCCGCAAAAATCACAGCAAACATTGCCATTGGGAACCAAGTTTCGTTGTGTTTGTATTTTACTTGTAGTTACCCGTCAATTCATAGTAAGTTTACTTTTCTTTTTTTTTCTTCTTTTAGATATCCTTATCATAAGCCATGTCAAACTTCTCAAGATCGTTTTAGATCAGAGTTAGTAACTCTGTTTAGATGTACATATGATTTCTTCATGTGTAACTCTACTGATGCTAACAATGTTATGAAGCGTGCAAAAAGTCCTTCGTTGAATTTCTCCATTGTCCTTGTGCTGTGGCTATTCACAGGAGTGTGGTTTCTTGGTTGATGTCTCTACTATTTTCTCTTGAACAGTAACAACATTGAGAGACAATAAAGTACAAGGGTTATTAGTTACTCGATTCGTTTCATGGAAGTTCTTGAAAACTTCATACGTTACAAACGTGGTTGAAACTGATTTTCTAGCTGCGTTTCTTCTAAGTAATTGCGTTGACATTGACTATAATACAAAATTCTGACTAACAAATGACTGATTTTATCAAATGAAAAAAAAATTAATAAGAATGATATACCATGCATTGATCGAGAAAAAAGGACTTAGCACTATGAAGCGTCGTCATTGTTAAGAACAAAGCCAGGGAAAAATAGATCCACAAAAATGTTTTCACTCAAACAAAAGGAAAACAAGAAAATGGAGTGCTATTATCATTCGTATACCGTCATACTTTGCTCTTGAAAATGACGTCACTGCACATTATTTTCTATTAAGGCGTAGTAAAACCGGGAATCTCGTGTATGCGATTAATTATATTGATTTTTCTTTTTATGGATCTTTTCCAGAGAAAAAACTTTCAAAGTAGGCTTATTTATACGTTAATAGAGTTTAAAGAGTTGATAAAGTTAAATTATTAATTTTAGTCATAAAGTCTTAGGGAGTCATCTATCTCTTGGGACATTGATAAAGACATTATTTTTAGAAAGTAGTCTAAAGTAGTCTCCAAAAGATGAATATGATAAAATTATTTGAATTTGTAATAAAGCTAATGATATGTATAAATTAATGTTAAATTAATATCTTTTGAAAACAATAAAGTAAAATTATACCATGCACGGCTGGATTTTGTAGATTGATTAGTTTATAACATATAGTCGATAAATACCTGCATTATCGTAAGCTCKGTTTATGACTTTATGGGGAGAGCAAGGATGGCCGAGCGGTTAAAACGCCGGTCTATCACCGCTGTGGTCCTGGTTCGATTCCTGGTTCGATTCCCGGTCCGGGAATATATGTGATTTGAGTTTGTAGGCTGGTTCTCTTCCTTGCTCCGAGGGTTTTTCTCCAGGTCCGCTGGTTTTCCTCCCTCAGTCAAAAACTAGCTGTGAGGAGTGTCGTGTAGTAAAATAATGAATGTTGAGGTAGTGAGTATAAGTGAATATATAGAGGGCCACAAGTTTATTAGTCTAGAGACTATTACGTGCTACTACCCTCTCAAAATAAAAGACTTTATTTACTGTGTTTTAATTTTCGATAATTTGACAGAGACATTTTAGAGGATCTTTAATAGAGCGGGAATATGGACTACTGCGCCTAGAGGTGGCGCGAACTTCATCGCTCCTGTACCTGTCATCATCGAGATCCAGCTCTTGTGATATTTTTCCTTTAATGGAGACAGCAGTGCGTATTATTTCGTTTTTTCCGCGGTAGTAATTTTCATCAGTTATGAGGAACAGCTCTTAGTCACTATGCTAGTTTGATTCCCGAAGTTTGATTGACATTACGGCATATTAAAAAGAATTGCATCCATTTTCACAAGGTCACGTGATATCTGACGTTACGTTTCTGACATAAAACAAGTCGGTGAAAAACCTCGAACCTCGGCTTCTAGGACCAGTTCAAGCATGGTAAGGGACAATCTCGAGCCCAGAGTCTTCACGGCTAAAGTCAGCTGGATGGCAAAAGTGCGGGCTCTGGGTACGAGATTGGGTAAGGGAGAGCAAGGGGAGTCTTTGCAAAAAGAACAATCCGCTGATCACAGGTACTGTGGGCTCGTGTTGTTCATTGAAAGAACTTGAAGAAAAGAACAAAATGCAACGTGTTTGGTATTCATATTCAAGTCCAATTTTATAACAAAGTATTCCAGAATGTATAGGATAATTACCAATCGATTTAGATCACGAAGGAACTTGTATTTCGTCTCCTTCACTGCAATAATCTTTTCCTTGTTAGTCCTGTCATGGTTTCACAATGGTGTGAGTGTTAAGCTTAACTCTGCGTCATTTGAGAATAGTGTAGTTCTCAGCCAACGAGGTATATCATCATCTAGTACATCGACATTGATGTCGTCAAATTATTCAGCCGTAGAAAACTTGAGAAGAAAAATTATGGATCGTACCGGCGTCTGGGCGCCTTTCAAACCAGGAGTTCAGGGTATTGTCAATGTGCATTTGTGGCTCAACTTGTGTGGTAACAACATCTTAACACTCAAGTTATTTCCTCTTTTCCCTAATGTTCCCTCCATAAGAAAGCTTTGGTCTAGTTTAGACATCTCCAACCTCGCACCGAACTATGGCAAACGCGTGTTTGGTTACCTAATTACCCCTACAAGTGGAAAATATTCTTTTCGTTTGAAGTTCAGTGGGACAGCAGAGTTTTGGTTGAGTACAGACGATAAACCTGAGAACAGTCGATGTCTTTTGTGTTTGATGAAAGGAAACGAGGCTACAACAAACAAGTTATCTTTGGAAAATTCTAAATCCTATTATTTTGAAATGCTCCACAAACATGGAGACTCACAAGCAATGGACAGCTTATTGTTACAATGGAATATAAATAATTCTAAATTTAAAGCTATTTCTAAAAAATATTTAAGAAGCTATCAAGAAGATACAGGAATATCAGAAGATGTTGTCAATGTTATTAATTTTCCTCAATCTAAACTTAAAATGCATGGGAAAAGTGAAAACATGAAAAGTGGTAGTTCTTCTCAGCGAATATCTAGAGAAGAAATCTACAAGTTACCATTCATTGCTCAAGACCTGATTGAAGATTTATTCCCTAGATGTAAATATAAACCTGATTACTTATTGACCTATAAACTTGATAGATATGGTGCTAAGTGGGAAAATATATACACTTCTGTTTACCCCTCTGATAACACTAATGTCACAGATTCAGATGGATTTGTTACGTTTGGAAATGACATTTTACTAGAAGATAAGGCATTGCAAATTGTGGGGATGATCATGAAACAGTTCAAGAAAAAAGGATTAAGGTAATGATTATTGTTGAAGGTACATAGAGTGTAGGCACACTGAACACCTCTCAAATATTGCAAAATATTATGTCATTTCGAACCAATTATAGCACTTGTTCTGATTGGCTTGAACATTTTTTTATAACAATGGTATGTGCACCCCCCTGACAAATTTATGGAATCACGATAGGCTTTATTTCCTTTATTTTGATATCCCACATCTATAATAAACAACACATTTTTCTTTAACACTGATACATTCCATATTTCAGACAATTTCAACTGGAAAATGTCATCAATGTTGAAGAAAAGAAAGRAAGATTCCTTGTGGAGCTACAACTACTGGATAAAAACACAAAGAAAAGTGTACGTTTTTCAGAGTATCTWTATTTRTCAAGAACCAGCAAGTACCTTTGCTACCCTGAGGGCTTTAAGTGGAATAAAACTAGCATGGTTAACGTTATTGTAACTGCAGGACGGAACCAGGGAAGATGGGTGTATCATTTCATTCAAAACATGGAAAAGATTTACCAACAAACCAAAGACAAGAACTTTAATGTTATAATCAATGATTTTCTTTGTCCTGATGCTGAYATACGACAAGCTTTAGAAACTAGTTCACTGCCTAACTACTTGTATCTTGGCAATCGTGGTGATTTCCACAAAACGCTTGGTCTACAGCAAGCTGCTGGAGCAGTTGTTGATGGCATAGTTACTATTTTAGACCTTCATCTTGAAATACCCTCAAATTACATAGATGACATACGCAAGGTATGGTAATTTTTTTMTTGATATGTGATTTAGAGCAAACCTCATTTGTACTAATTTTTGCAAGTCTTTCCGTGATTTTAATTTTTGAAAATGGAAGACACACACTGTAAAAAAAAATAATAATAATTAAAGCCCTTGAAGAACTTTTCTAATTTTGCAAAATTACCGTAACAATCAAAAAGCCACAATTGGAGAGGATTATTTCAGGAATGTATGAATGACTTAAGCCGACACACAAGAAAGAGGGATGAAAAATATATGGAAAAATGTTATATTTTAATATTTGAGTAATGAAATTTTACAATTTGTGAGATTTTACCAGGTGTTTCGTGAGGTGATAAAGTAGTTATTTCAATTTGTAACTGTCAAGCTTTGATCAAGGTTTTTTTTTGTGAAAATGCAATTGATGACAATTTACCTCTTTTCTCAATAATCTCAGTAAGCATTSAAGCATTCAGTTGTAGCACCTAAGGTCCCTTATGATTGACATGCAGTTACTTTTTTAAGAACAGGCACCTACTTCCAAAGTTAATGAAATCACTGAAATGAAAATAACCTGTTATTTCACTAGAGAGAAGACCTAGTTCATGGTATTTCATTATGTATTTTTAAACTTTTTTATAATACAAAACCATTGTAAAACATGCCCACCTGATGTCATACCTGTGAACAAGGTTTTACAGTGAGAACACTT